CAGCTGGATTTGGGGGGTCACAGGTGGATGGGGGGGTGACAGCATCTCACCTCTGCCCAGATGTTTCTAAGGAGATCAATCCCGCGATTGCGGAGGGATTCAATTGTGGAGGGATTCAATTGTGGAAGGATTCAGGGGCTCACCTGCTTGGAGCTCATCCTGTCCCCCCTCTCCATGGAGCTGTCCCATCCCCCCATGGAGCTGTCCCATCCCCCTGTGAAACTGTCCCATCCCCCTGTGAAACTGTCCCATCCCCCCGCAGAGCTGTCCCCCCTCTCCATGGACCTGAACCCCCTCCATGGACCTGTCCCCCCCCTCTCCACGGGCCTGTCCCCTCTCCATGGCCCTGTCCCCTCCCCACGGAGCTGTCCCCTCCCCGCTGACCCCCGTGTCCCCTCAGGACTGCCAGGAGCTGACGGACGTGGAGCGCGCCATCGAGACGGTCATCAGCCAATTCCACTGCTACGCCGTTAAAGGCCAGAAGGAATATCTGACCCCCAACGAAATGCAGGACCTGGTGGTGCAAAAACTGCCCCACCTGGGCAAGGTGAGGCCGGAACCCGGGGGTGACCGGGCCGGGGGGCGGCTCCGTCCGTGCGACCCCCCCGTGATCTCCTCGTTTTTCCCGCAGTGCGTGGGACCCCTGGAAGAGAAGATCGAGTGCATGGGAGACCCTAACGAGGCCAAGCTGGAATTCGGGGAGTACTGGGACATGATGGGCGACGCGGCCAAGGGCTGCCGGAGGAAGTAGGAGGGCGGTGGGGACGGGAAGGCGCCCGAGGGCTTCGGGCTCTGCTGCTCCTGGAAGCGCCGGGGGGAAAAGCGGCGCCGCTCCTGCCGGCTCCGGACCCGCTGCCCGTTCCATCCCCGCTCCATCTTTGCCATCCCCGGTCCATCTCTGCCCTCCCCCGCCTCTCCTTCCCGTCAGAACCGCTCCCCTCCCTCCCCCAGCCCCGCTCCGGGCTCAGGGTGACCCCGGCCCCGCTCCGGAGCCGCCTCTCTCCGTCCTTCCCGGGTCTGTCCCGGTTCCGTCCCGGGTGAAAATCCCCCCCGGTCCCGGCCAGAGGGACTCGGCTCCGTTCCCTGGATGTGGTGGCTCGTCCCTGTCACCCCGCGGCACCTCCAGGACAGCCCGGGCTGGATGAGCGTGGCCCGGGCGCGCTCCCTGCCCTCC